GTGGGGGGCAAGGGAGCTCCACATTCAATTAGTAAATCTGTAACCAAAAACCCATCCATCTTTGCTGGCAGGTGGCTGACTGCATTTCTATTATTAGCTGACAGGTGATGTCACAAAACCTGTCATGGAGCCAACTAGGGAATCCTCAGTGGAAGATAAATGAGAAAGGGGTTCAGGTTATAAACAAAGGTGCCCTCTGGGTGACCTCTAGTCACCATAGACTGGGACATATCAGCTATCCTTCCTTCTCCCTTTCCTCCTTCCCGCAACCCCAGCCAGAATTAGGGCACCAGGTTCGTGCTGTGTAAATTATCTTCCCAGCTAGGAGTCTGGCTGTACAGTCTGAAGTGTGTGAATGTACTTAACCTTCAATAACCTTTCCATTGTTTACTTTCGAGTATACATTTGTAGCTTCTGGCAAAAGGTAGGGAGATCCTACAGCGTGCGCCAGCCTCATCTATTAATGGAGCTTCAAGAGGTTGGGTTCATTTTTTTTTTTTCCCTGAAAGGAAAGGAAAAAACACTGGCAGAGGGAAGAATTTTTCTTTTTTTTTTTTTTTTTATTAGCTGTAAATGTGAATACTTGTAAATAAGGGTCATTCTGAAATCACAGCCTGTGAACCATGTTTCCAGGGAAGCCGTACGGTCTGCCGTGTGGAGTGTGGTCTGTGATTTGGGAAGCATGTTATTTCTCCTGCCAACTCTCTGGGGCAGACACAGCTGTAGGATTATCCTTACACAGTTACAAAAGACGCCACTTTTTTCTTTTATTACAGTCTACTTATTTAATATGTATTTCCAGGGTTTCACCAAAATATGATTTATAAGCAATGCATTACTAAGCTTTTCTTTTGCCATAGCTACATTAAAAAGATTTCTACTTTTCAAGTCAGTCTTCCCTGCACCTCCCAGAGCTGCCCTGAGTCACTGTGGTCCCGGGGAACTCAGGGGACACCTTATACAGCCCTGGTGGCCCATGCTCAGGACTCACTCCCAAGCAGGCCAGGCCCGGGGGCCTGATCTCACCAGAGACCTCCTGTTCTGCTGAGGCTTTCTGAGTGGAAGTGCTAGACTCATTTCCATCTCAGACTCCCTCCCAGCACGCTCTGTAATCTTCGGTGATTTGTTGAACCCCATTTCCTCGACAGTTAGATGTGGCTGATGGTAATTGTAGTGAGTCTTGGACACCTCCTAGGAAAGGGACTCCAGATAATAGCATATACAGTATTGTCACTTCCAGGCAGCCAGTGATTCTGCCATTCATGACGGTTCTGAAAGCATTTATTGTAAACTGCATGAGAGCAGGAATTTTTGTCTTTTTTGTCAGTTTGGGCCACTGGTGCATTCAGGAGTAGAAAAAACAATATAGTAAGCCATATAGAAAGTATGTTATTTATTCAATAAGTATTCGTTTAATTAACAAGTGAAGGCAATGTCTATTGGGCACCTAATATGCAAAGGTTGCTGATAAAGCAGGAACCCTTAAAATATTATGTTTTCCAATGAGATGAGTTTAAGTTTTGAAAAGATCTGCTCGGGGTGCCTGGGTGGCTCAGTCGTTAAGCGTCTGCCTTCGGCTCAGGTCGTGATCCCAGGATCCTGGGATCGAGCCCTGCATCGGGCTCCCTGCCCCACGGGAAGCGTGCTTCTCCCTCTCCCACTCCCCCTGCTTGTGTTCCCTCTCTCGCTGTGTCTCTCTCTGTCAAATAAATAAATAAAATGTTTAAAAAAAAAAAAAAAGATCTGCTCAATTCTGAGCTGTTATTATAGCGTAATTATAGTTAAAGCCAAATCTCAGGACTCTGATAATGACATTAAAGAACTCCAAAGAGCATGACTTCGGTTTTGTAATAACAAATCTGATTCCATAGCTCTAAAAATGGCTTTATTAATGACATAGCATAGACACGTCCAGACATTGAGGAGGCATTGAAGTGACATAAGGCTCATTACTAATTTGTATCATTGCGTTTCGACTTAAACATTTCTCATTGCCTAAGATCTGGTACTAATTTTTCTAATTTTTTCCCTAAAATAGCACAATAGTCCATCAAATCGGTATACCAAATTTTTCCTTACTCTCAGACATTTAGATTATCTCCATTATAAACAACACTGAAATAAACATTTTTCTGCTTAAAGCCTTCTTTTATATTAGATTATTTTCTTGAGATAAATACCCAGGAAAGCAATCACCCAGTCAAGAGGTATAAATATGTTTTATGGCTCACAAATGAAGTATGTTGCCAAGTAGATTACTAAAAAAAAAAAAAAAAAAATTACTAATTTTCACAATAAACAATATAAGAGCAACTAATTTTACTACATCGTTACCAGTAAGGGATATTGTCACTGTTTCTAATAAGATGGTGTCATGTTGTCCTTTTTTTTTTTGATAAGTAGGAAGGATGAGCTTACTTGATAACCTCTCGTTTTTTCCTTCTTTTCTTTTGGTACTACTACCGTCAGCTAACTCAGGATCCTTGCAAGGTCCACAGACCCCCCAGTCAACTGGCAGTAACTCGATGGCAGAGGTCCCAGGTGACCTGAAGCCCCCGACCCCAGCCTCCACCCCTCATGGACAGATGACCCCGATGCAAGGTGGAAGGTATGCGAAAGCATCTCCGTGAGCCCCACGACATCCGATTTGTGGAGAAGTGGTGTTCTGTCACGAGTTTTTAAATATTGATTACTACATGTCATTTTTTTTTTTTTGGATGGTTTTCACATCAATTTTCAAGTTAGGCTTTTTTCTGAACAAGCATTTGGTGGCAACTCCTGCTACTTCATGGTGCTTTCCTTCTCCTCATCTCTTCAGAAGCGGTACAGTCAGCGTGCACGACCCATTCTCAGACGCCAGTGATTCATCATTCCCGAAACGGAACTCCATGACTCCGAGCGCCCCCTACCAGCAGGGCATGAGCATGCCCGACGTGATGGGAAGGATGCCCTATGAACCCAACAAGGACCCCTTTGGTGGAATGAGAAAAGGTAAGTGCAGAGGGACCTCTGCCCAGGCTTGGTGCAGAGGACATTCTTCTCCCTGCCATCCCGCAACCAATTCACTTACCCATTCGAGACATAGCTGAGTCCCAGCTCCTCAACCTACTAAATTTCTGGCCTTGGGGGAAGCCTCAGTTTCCTCATCTAGAAACTGGGGTAATAATAGGACCTGCCTAAAGGGTGTGATGAGGCTTAGTTGAGTTAGTGCACAAAAAGCCCATTGGAGAATGACTAACACACGCATGCGCAGGCATGCTCGTGGTGCTCCCTGGCCTCACAGATGATGTCCTGTGGGACGGGCTGGGCAAGGGCCAGGTGCGGGGTGGTGTGTTGATAAATCAGACAGAGTTCCTGCTGGGGTTGACAGTGTCTTGGGGAACAAACAAATATATAATTAAATATGGTGGTTGATGGAAGAAAGGACCTGATGGAAAAGAAACAAAAAGGAAGAAAGGACACAAAGTGCAGGGATATGGGGTGGGGGTCGTGGGAGGGAAGGACATCCCCCTGAGAAAGGGTGGTCGGGAGGGGAGGGCTTTGAGGAGATGTCGGTTATCCGCGGAGACCTGAGGAATGAGGAGTCAGTCAGAGAAGAGCAGGGAGTGGGGGGAGGCTCGAGGCAGGAGAGGGGTTGGCATGTTTGAGGAGGTAGAAGGCATCTGGGGCACAGTGAGCCAGGGGGGCAGGCCGAGCGCACGGAAGCCATCGGGACCACTGGGGCCAGATCCTTTCAGCCTTCATGGGCGTGTGGATGAGTTTGGACCCTAGCTGAAAGATGTTCTGCAGGAAGTGACACGACTGGGTTTTTGTTAAAAAATAAAAAACTGGTGGGGCGCCTGGGTGGCTCAGCCAGTTAAGCATCTGCCTTCAGCTCAGGTCATTATCTCAGGGTCCCGGGATCGAGCCCCGCATCGGGCTCCCTGCTCAGCAGGGATCCTGCTTCTCCCTCTGCCCACCACCCACCCAATCATGCTCTCTCTAGCTCTCTCTCTTTCAAATAAATAAAATCGTATAAATAAATAAACAAGTGGCAACTGTGGCAAATGTGTTGGAGGGACCCCTGTGAGAGCCCAGGGGAGAAATGACGGGGTGGAGTCAGATCCCAGCAGCGAAGAGAGAGAAGTGGATGTGCTCGCTGTGGTTGGTGAAGGAACAGGCTGCACGGCTGGAGTGAACGTGGGGGTCACGGGACGAAGCAAGTGATAGGGACCAAGAGGGTGACGTTACTACCTTGGAGATGCACGACTGGGAAGTAGAGGCTCACTGTTCGAGCCTGCACTGGGGACAGGAGGGAGAGGAAGGAGAGAGGGAAAGCCCAAGGTGACTGAGGTGGTAGGTGGTGGAGCGTGTCTGTCTGAAGCCGGGCAGAGCGTTGGAATTAGGAATCATTTTAGAGAACTAAGCAGAGAAGTGGGATGGAGAACTGTGGGGTGGATGGGATCGCCGAGAACGTGGGAGAGTTCTGACCGACGTTAGCAAACACCCAGCGGGGGTGTTTCCCTTTATGCTGCTCAGTCCCTGGCGTTCGCTTGGCACTGAGAACGGAGCATCTAAGCCTCCGCCCTTTGAGCGCCTCCCGAGGCACACAGACTCCAAGTGCTCTTTGGCACTCTTCCAAATGCAGCCGGGCCGTGAAATTGAGGCATGATGTGAATATCATTGAAAAAAATACCGAAAAGTAGTGAATACTATTTTTACGGAAGTACTTCTTCCGGCATCCCTTAAACAATAGTACTTCTGTTCGATTTAGATATTCAGGGCATGCAAATTTCTTGATATCTTGTCTTAAGTGGAGAGAAACATAAAGCCCAAAGCCGTGTTTTCACAACTATTATGGACCAGTGAAAAATAAAAATGAATAATTTCAAATTTATAAGTATTAGGCATGTATCATTTAATTAACAAATGAGATTATGTTTAATATCTATTTCTTATGTAACATTTCAGATACCTGTTATACCACGTAAGAGAATCTATAATTTTTCCTTTCAAAACATTTCAGAGTTGCTTATTCCAAGTAAATATTCTGCAGAACATGCAATAAATCCCTAAGCTCAGAAATTCACAAGCCTTGTACGTGTTGGAGGTAGCTATTTTTCTTCGTGGTATGAGATAGTAGAAAGAACATTCTGTTACTGCTGATGGTGGTTGTATCACATTTTTAGACTCTGAAAATTTGACAATAACAAGGGAAAAATAACTAGTAGTGTTTGGAATCCGGCTTCAAAAGTTAGGTGAACCATTCCAGTATCCTGCCTATATGCTATATTGGACATAGGGGGTTACATTGCTTTTGTTTCTGTATGCCTACGGTTTTTCTTACTCTGAAAATAAATGGGGGGGTGATTGTGGATCACCTTGTTAGACACTCACTATCTATATAATGTGTTTGCATCCACCGTGTAAATGATACAGTGGCTCAGAGGGAAGGCCCTTCTCACGTTTCCCCGGGATATTGCAGCTCACCTGCTACCTCACAGTACTGGTGTATTTAGCACCAAATTAAAGCAGATAAGCAGAAAACCCACAGAAAACAGGTTTTTGTATAGCCCTGTCCCTGTTATAATAAAGGTTTACCTTCCTCGGTTCACATTATTCTGTGCGTGAACTTGGGGTGCTTTGACTCGTCATGTAACGACCAGCATCGGGGGCAGCCGTGCTTTGTTGCTGCTCCTGGACTCTCGTGTGGTGATGGGGGCCGTGCCAGAGCCTGTCTGAGCCTCCGTAGCCGGAGCAGCCTCGGCCCCAGCTGCCTGCCTGCCCCACCAGCTCCCTGAACGCGTTACTGACTGACCGGCCCATTACTTGCTTACAAGTGAACAAGTGAATATTTACATTCTGTATACAGTATATTTTAAATATCCATTAGTATCTGTACACATAATCCTATTTTTTTTATTTTGAGAGGGAGAGGAAAGGGGGGAGGAGTTGGGGGAGGGGGAGAGAGAGGATCCCAAGCAGGCTTCCACGCCCAGCGCAGAGCCCGACTCGGGGCTCAATCCCATGACCCTGAGATTGTGACCTGAGCCGAAACCAAGAGTCAGACGCTTAACCAACTGAGCCACCCAGGGTCCCCCACCTACTTTTTCTTCATCTGAGAGAGAGACAGAGAGAGCACAGCACGGGGGAGGGCCAGAGGAAGAAGCAGACTCCCCACTGAGCGGGGAGCCCAACGCGGGACTCAGTCATGACCCGAGCCGAAGGCAGACGCTTAACCGACTGAGCCACCCAGGCGCCCCTGCCTTTTCTTTTTAATGCTCTAGTACTGAAGGAGTTGTTTCATAATATTTTGCTGTTATAAAAAATGATGCAGGGCGCCTGGGTGGCTCAGTCGTTAAGCGTCTGCCTTCGGCTCAGGTCATGGTCCCAGGGTCCTGGGATCGAGCCCCACATCGGGCTCCCTGCTTGGCGGGGAGCCTGCTTCTCCCTCTCCCACTCCCCCTGCTTGTGTTCCCTCTCTCGCTGTCTCTCTCTCTGTCAAATAAATAAATAAAATCTTCAAAAAAAAAAATGATGCCGTGATTATTGACTGATGTAGCTGTTTTTTTCACACCTGTAATTGTGTTTCTGTGAAATAGATTCCTAAAGGAATAACTAAATCAAGGGATCTGAACTTTTATTTTAGTTTACTGAGTGTCTTTTACTACATAACGAACTGCCACCCGAAGTGGCTTTCAACACCAGCGTTTGGTTGCATCTCACAGTTCCCTGATGGGCGGGGTGGTTCTTCGTTGCATGTGTTGTGTCAGCTTGGGACATGAGGCGCCTGCTGTCGTCAGGGAGCCTGACTGGGAACTCTGCTGGAGCTGGGATGTCCCTTGAAGGGTTGGTGTCATCTGGAGGCTCTGTTGGGAACTCATCAGGAGCTGTCGCTTGGGGGCCTCCCCCAGGGGCCGTCCCACGGAACTTCCAGGGTGCCTCATGACATGGTGGGTGGGTTACCAGAAGGAGCACTTCAGGAGGACGCCCCAGTTGCCAGCACATAGGACCCTCTGCGGCATCGCATTTGCCGGTGCCCCATGGGTCAATGCTGGTCACATGACCACGCCAAAACGCACTGTGGGCGGGGACCTCATAGGCTGTCAGTACTCTTGGGGGTCATCAGAATATAGCACTGCCGTAACAGGTATCAACAAAAGTTAGGCCAATGTAGTACTCTTCACATGAGCATGTCAGAGTGTGTGGACCCTCACTCCCCCACCAGGAATGACCATTATCGGTCCTTTTAATATTTGCCCATCGGATTAGGGGAGGGGAAAGTCTCATAACTGTTTTAACTTGGATTTCTTTAATTATTAGTGAAGTCACACATCTTTTCATATATTGATTAGCCACTTATTTTTCTTTTTCTCTGTCCATTTATTTGCCCATTTTTTTAATCTGATGATCTTTTTTTCTTACTGGCTTTTTAAGAATTTTTTTGTGTATCAAGGAATTAAGCTATTTAACTTTAATTATCCCCCTTAATGTCTGTCTACCTCTGTTTTTACATTTATAAAATGGAAAGTAACATCAGAACTTAATCTGCCGCCTGTTGACTTGAGCTTAAATAAAATAAAGTATGGGAAAGCTCAGTGCATCCCACCGGCGCTAGACTTCATTATCTGCACTTTTCTTCCAGCCCAGCAAATTCTATCAGCTCACCCAAGTCTAACCAGCTTTTGCTTCGTGTAACATAAAAGTAACCTTCCTAGGATGAAGAAAGGTAGTAGTACTGTATATCAATTAAGATTTGCATTAAAATGTTTAATTTGCCTACAGGCTAGTTTCTGGGCTTGACCCAATTTCCTTCAGGCTCTGAGCTGATGCTAATTTGCATATTTGACCTAATTGCCACTCTACGCCCTGATAGAAATACTTGTATTTCATCCATTCTTGAGTTATTCTTAATTCCCTAGTGGGTTTCTTTATCCAGATTTTGCGGTGAGTCAGTAGATGGGTATTCATGTTAAGTTTTCTTACTTTTTTCCACTAGAACGGAAGGCAACTAGCTTTATTCAGACAGTTGACCCTTGAACAACGTTTAAACCGCACAGGGCCACTTATACACAGATTTTTTTTTTTTCAATAAATAGATGTACAGTACTATAAGTGTATTTTCTCTTATGATTTTCTTAACATTTTCTTTAGCTTTACTGTAAGAATACTGTATATGATACATGTAATGTACAAAATTTGTAGGGTTTTTTTTAAGATTTTATTTATTTGAGAGAGAGAGGGAGAGCACGAGCAGGGAGAGCGAGAGGGAGAAGCAGGCTCCCAAGGAGCAGGGAGCCCGATGTGGGACTCGATCCCAGGACCCTGGGACCACGACCTGAGCCGAAGGCAGATGCTTAACTGACAAGCCACCCAGGTGCCCCTTTATTGTGTTATTTGTGTACATTATCAGTAAGGCTTCTGGGCAGCAGTCGCCTATGAGTAGTTAGGTTTTGGGGGAGTCCAACGTTACACGTGGATTTTCACCTTTGAGGGGGTCAGCACCTCTAAGCCCTGTGTGAAGGGCCACCTGTACGCGCATTTCATCTCTTCCTCACACCCACTGCAGGAGGCAGCATGACCAACCTTATTTCATAGATAAGGAATGAAACTCAGAAGTTTGGTAACCGCCCCAAGAAAGGGCCTGTGTTTGTTTCCTACATTACTTCATAACAAATTACCGCGACCTCAGCTGCCCAGAACAACATCCGTGTAGGATCCCGCGTTCCTGTGGGCTCTCGGCTCGGGGCCCCCCACGGCAGACATCAGGGTGTCGGCCAGGACTCTGCTTATCTGCGGCGCAGGGGCCTCTTCTGAGCTCGTTGAGGTTGTTGGCAGATTTGGGTCCTTGCAGTTGTAGGACTGAGGTCTTGTCTTGAGAACAGTCGTCTGGGGGCCTTCACAGTCCTAGGGGCTGCCCCCCTTCCTAACATCTGGCCCTCTCCACTGCGTGATGGTTGCTTCTTCAAGGCCAGCGGGAGAGTGTCTCTGACCGCTAGACACAGATTTAAGGGACTCACTTGGATAATCTCCCTTTTAGTTGACTACCAGTCAGCTGATTGGTAACTTTAGTTACATCTGTGAAATCCCTTTAGCCATATAATGTATGTAATCATGGGAGCAACACCTCACCATGTTGGTGGGTTCTACTCATCCTCAAGGGAGGGGCTCCTATGAGGCTGTACATGGGGTAAGGGATAGGGATCTTGAGGTCCATCTTGACTCCAGACCTTACACTCTTTGGCTTGTTTTGTCGTCAGCCATACTAAGAATAAGATAAATGTCTGCCGTATTAAGGATAACAGAAACGACTGGAAAGGGCCGTTTGGGCCCCTTGGCTTTTGCAGATGCCTCATTTTCTCTCTCTCCTTTAAAATGTTGCAGTGCCTGGAAGTAGTGAGCCCTTTATGACTCAAGGGCAGATGCCCACGAGCAGTATGCAGGACATGTATAACCAGAGTCCCTCTGCAGCGATGTCCAGTCTGGGCATGGGGCAGCGGCAGCAGTTTCCCTACGGAGCCAGCTACGATCGAAGGTGAGCGTTTTCTGAGATGACCATGAGGTTTACCAGAACCTCTCCCCGCACACACGTTTCTGAGCCTGGTAGCTGCTGACAACGCACACAACTGCTCTCCTGCTGGACTTAGTGAGGGTGGGGTCGGGGGCCTGCCTCCACCGACGACCACAGCAGCAGCAGGAGGAGAAGGACCCCTGAGAGCTGGAGGCCCCGAGCCACAGTGGCCCTGCCGGCACCGGGCTGCCCCCCGACACAGCCACTGACCCACTCCTCCAGCTGCCTTGCGCGGCTCCACAGACTCAGTCTTGCGGCCCCACCCAGCCCCCTTCCCGCCTGCATCTCTTCCTTAGGGAAGTGTTCGCACACCGGGGGCCACGCTGGGCTTTCCGCAGCCCCGGGTGACAGGCAGCTCTGGGAAGGTCTTCCCTCCCGGTGTTGGTTCTTCAGGTCTTTCCGTTCTTCCCTGCGAACGTCTTAAACAGAGAGAATACTTTGCTCTTTGAATAACATCTTTGAGGAAAGCCCCGGCAGTCTTGTTTCCAGATGCTTCTTCTCAGGATGGCATCTGGGCATCGAATAGCAAGTTGGGTTTTGGTGCTCATGCAGATTATTTTTACTGAGGCAGAAGGACGGTCCTTGAAATGTCTCTTAGAGGTTAACAGAAAACCGGCTCACGGTAGACTTCTTTCGGTGAAGAAGGCCCCTTACTTACCCCTGCCCCTGACTTAAATACAGGCCCTGAAAGCACCTTCCCCTGGCTGGTATGTTCTTTGCCTCCTTAATACACAAGTGCTCAGAAGCAAAGTCTTTAACGTAATATCTGTGATTTTTAAAGAAAATGGAGGCACATTAGAAGGCTCTGGTTCTAACTGTAGCCACAGCCCCAGGCTCAGGGTAGGGATGGCCTCGGCTCCGTTCCTTCAGGATCCGGTGTGGTGGTGTTCCTCAGAGACTCCCTCCGTCACTGCTGCTCCCACAGACCACGTGCTGGCCGTGGACAGGGGCGAATCGTGACAGTCATGAGGAGGTTTCCGCTGGTGTGACACAAAGGCGAAGAAAGTTTGAAAGTCACTGTTTTATTACCAGAGAAGCTTTCTTTCTGGCATTTTCCATGCACCTGCTTCTTCAGACACAGAGCCATCACAAGCTTAAAGTGTTTTGGTTCTTTCTAGACTTAAGAATCTAGATTTCTCATTCTTACCCTGGCTGTGGTGTGGTGAACGTTTATTAGTGATGGCTACATGAATCAGTTTCCCATCATGTTCAGTGTACTGGATTAGGGATTTTATTTCGATTTGTTTTTGAGGATCCAGAAGAAGCTTTCTTTTTTTCTTTTTCCTTTTTTTTTTTTTTTTTTTTTGCTGATGAGATTGGAAGAACACTTCTCCTGGAACATATATTCTTAACGGAGCCCAGGCAAATGTACTGTTCTGTTTCTCCTAGAAGACTTTCTAGAACTAGTTTAAGTCATTTTGGGCTCTACCACGTTAGGGTTTACCTTATGCTTCCTGAAAAGTGTTACTTGTTTAGCTTAGATTTTACCTGCATCAGTTATTATTTCTTTCCTCCTAACGTAAGCTTCCTTCTAGCTATTAATGCCCTTAGCACACGCTTCCTCTGTATCTGTTTTACCTGTGATGTTCTCAAAATCCATTTGTTTTCTTTCTTAGTCTCTTTCCTTGACCAGTTTAGGAATATATTCAGTGCAAGTATCCTCTTTCTTACAGGATTCAATTAGTATACTAACAAAACCAGTTTATCCCTTTAAACTTCAAATCTATTGCTCTTTTACGCATGCTGTTTTTATGGTATTTATAGCTTCTCAATGTAATGGGAGTTGAAAAATAAATATTATACATTCCCATTTTCAGATTTAATAGGAGCACATTTAAATCAGCCCTGTCACTCTTTTAAGTCCCCTCTGTTATTCTTTTCTGTGGCCTTTTAGGGTCATGGGGCTTTAAAATTTTGAGTAGTTATATTTTTACAATTAGTAGCTAACTCAGTATCATTTGGATTAATTGTGGAGTATACTTTTAAAAAATTGAACATTTTGTATTCATAATGAGAAAATAAGTAGACATTTTCCATGATTATAGGTTTATGCTCTCCTGGAAGTCCTTCTTTGATTCTTAGATTGTTTTTCTTGTCTCTGGCTCTCGTTAATACCTCCCATCATGGGGTTGCATGACACTCGCTGCCCGGGTCCGCGTTGGTGGGTGGGGCAGAGACTCTGCCCAGAGGTACAGGGGTGCCGGCCTATCTGGCCGGGGCTCCTCGCACACCTTCCAGCCAGGAGATTGGCAGCATTCCCAAAATGGGTGTTGCCATCCCTGTGGCTAAAAGTTAAAGTGCTGTTTCTGCTTGGCGTGCCTCTCTTTGAAAGTGTGTGCAGTGAAGGAAAGACAAGACCACTAAGGGGTGCGCGATTTCCAGAAATGAACTGTTGGTTTCTCTCTTGGCCTGACGTCCTTTGACAATGAAGTGTTCTTTGAATGCCTCACTCTAGGCATGAACCTTACGGGCAGCAGTACCCAGGCCAAGGCCCTGCCTCAGGACAGCCGCCATATGGAGGACACCAGCCCGGCCTGTATCCACAGCAGCCGGTGAGTCGGCGAGCGGGCATGCATCTCTGAGCTTTCTGTTTAAAACCCCAACTTGTGTTACTTCTGCAGAGTTTTAGGAAGTATAAGAAAAATGAGTAGCATTTATTGAACAATCAGGATCCGTTTGCTTATGCTAGAAAATATTATTAGGATTTTGAAGTCAGCAAATTTTTAAAAAGCTCTGGATAGATGGTATCCTTAAACAAAGGTCACATGTTGTAGGAAGTAGAGGACGTTCAGCCTTGTCAAGAAGAATCAGCCCGAGTAAAGAATATTTTAAACACGTGTCTGTTGTGTGTATTGTCCCTATCAAATGCCATTTTCGAATAGAAATTTGTCGGTATTTTAAAGATGTGTAGATAAAAATAACTTAAAATATTAAATACCAAGATGAAATTTAATCGGCTTTTTAAAACTGAGATATTAATGACCAAGTATTTTGCCCACATAGGATGGGTGGGTGCTGGTTGACGCAACCGTAGATCCTGAATTGTGTAGGATAACCTTGCAGTAGCCCCTAGTGCTTCAGAGAATTGCACGTCATGCTGTGGCTGTTCAGACACAGGAGTTTGCTATTTTTTTCTTTTTTTTTTTTCTTAAAGGTTTTATTTATTTGAGAGAGAGAGTGCGCACACGTGCGAGCGGGGCCATGGAGGGTGGGGCAAAGGGAGAAGGAGAAGGAGGAAGCAGACTCCCCTCTGAGTGGGGAGCCCGATGCGAGGCTCAGTCCCACAATCCCAAGATCACGACCCGAGCCAGAACCAAAGAGTCAGACGCTCAACCGACTGAGCCACCCAGGCGCCCCAAGAATTTGCTATTTCTAAACAACTTTTCAGGTTTAAGACCTCTGGTAGCATAGAGGGGGTTTTAAACATTTAATTTTCCTGGAGCATGTATGTGCAGTAAATTAAACCAGCTGATCTTAGGCAATTTCCAAGTAAGGTGAAAGAACACTAATTATCACATCAGCATCTTTCTCACATCAGGAGGATCCCACCTTGGTCGAGTGCTGGTCCCCGGGGTTTCCCCAGGAGGGGAGCCTGATACACAGGAACACGGGCCCTGCTGTCAGAGGCTGGGGCCTGTGGGGCTTTCAGGGGAGACTCTGAGCTGCACTGCTGGAAGTCGGGGTGGGGGCCAGAGACCGTAGGGTGTCGGGGCAGCAGGTCCGGTCTGAGGAGCCGGATGCTATGTGGAGACATTCCTGCAAAGGTAGGCCTAAGGAATCCCTTGACTGCAGGAGCCTTGCAGGCTGGCCCTCAGGAAGCTCCGTCCGTGCCAGGGCGAGCCCTCTTCCTCCCTGCTGAGGCCGTCTTCATGTAACCCCAGGCCCCCCGTCCGGCAGTGCCCGTGTTGGGGTCTCCAGAGCTGTGCCCCTGTATTGCAGCCCTGGGAAATACCAAGGGAGGAGGTACCAGGAAAAAGAGAGAGGAAGCCTTTCTTTCCCCAGAGAAAATGCCAAGCACATGCAGAAAGCCTTCGGAAACCCTCTTCGGAGTACGTGACGCAGCTTTGTATAATCCCGAAATAGAGGGCATCAGTTGTTAGTCCTTAGTTGTTACAGGAGCTTCCCATATTCATTTTGAAATGAACCTTCTACCAGGTAATAACTGTTTTGCATAATTTAAGTGTGTGATTATACCTGTAAAAGCACATCAGTATGATTTGTCTTGATATGCGTTTCAGAATTACAAACGCCATATGGACGGCATGTACGGGCCTCCAGCCAAACGCCACGAGGGAGACATGTACAGCATACAGTATGGCAACCAGCAGCAAGACGTGTATAACCAGTATGGGGGCTCTTACTCCGGACCGGACAGGAGGCCCGTCCAGGGACAGTACCCGTATCCCTACAACAGGGAGCGGATGCAGGGCCCGGGGCAGGTACAGCCGCATGGGATCCCGCCTCAGATGATGGGCGGCCCGATGCAGTCGTCCTCCAGCGAAGGGCCTCAGCAGAGCATGTGGGCGGCTCGCAACGATATGCCTTACCCCTACCAGAACAGGCAAGGCCCGGGCGGCCCCGCCCAGGCACCTCCTTACCCCGGCATGAACCGCACGGATGATATGATGGTACCTGATCAAAGGATCAATCACGAGAGCCAGTGGCCTTCTCACGTCAGCCAACGTCAGCCTTATATGTCCTCTCCCGCCTCCATGCAGCCCATCACGCGCCCGCCTCAGTCATCCTACCAGACGCCACCATCGCTGCCAAATCACATCTCCAGAGCCCCCAGCCCTGCCTCCTTCCAGCGCTCCCTGGAGAGCCGCATGTCTCCAAGCAAGTCTCCCTTTCTGCCCTCCCTGAAGATGCAAAAGGTCCTGCCCACCGTCCCCACGGCCCAGGTCACGGGGCCGCCCCCCCAGCCGCCCCCCATCAGAAGGGAGATTACCTTTCCTCCTGGCTCCGTTGAGGCCTCACAGCCAGTTTTGAAACAAAGGCGAAAGATTACCTCAAAAGATATCGGTAAGCATTGCGGGCCTTGGCCTGAAATGAATCCCAGTTGTGATCGAGAATTTTAATTTTAGTTTAGATTTAGCTCCTGTTAATCTCCAAGGGATGAAATTCTTAGGACGGCAAACTATCAAGACATGTTTTTGTACAGGAGCGGCAGCTGAAAGCTGCTGATCTGAGTTAAGAAACAGTGCCAGAGAGGAGCGTGAGTTTACAATGGTATTTTTACACGTGAGTGTTATTTGTGTGAGAGAGTAGAGCTCCAAGTGAGAGACCAGGGGATCCTCAGTGACTGTGTTTTATACTACAGTTTGAGCTGAAAGATTGGGCCGCAACCAAGCGCTTGATTTCTGCAGTGGTGGGCCTCACGGCTGAGAGGCTAATGAAATGCTCGGGTGGCCTGAGAAAATTTGAAGGCGAGCCACTCTGTAATTTGGGGAACCCCAGACAGACAGTGAGCTTTCCTGGGAAAAAGCAGAAGCCTGCGTATAGTATGTAGATAAATATATAATATACAGAATTTGATATGATGTGTTGTGTAGGTAGCGCTGGTAGATATGGGCCAAGGAACGATTTCAGTTGGATGCCGATGTTGTTTGCTCATTCTGTTTGGGATGTTCTGAATACTGATCCCAGATCTGGAATATCTAGGAGTACACACAGTTTTTGTGCATTATTTTTGAAGTACTTTTAATGTAGCAAAGGAAATTATAGACCTTGGTTTTATAAGAAACAGTCTTTTCAAAAACCTTAAAATCACTTGACTTGAAATCATTAAGAGTGACTAGAAAATCAAAGATACTAAAGATTTTTTTCAACCACTGGAATTAAGCACATATTCGGGCAGAGCAGGGGAGAGAAGTAAGGCCTTACAGAGAGGGACGCTGGAGACGAGAAGGAGATACAGACAGACACTGAGCACCGTTTTATATGTGGAAATATATATGTAAAAATATGCACATGTGTTTGTGTGTTTATGTATGTGTGTGTGCATATGTTTGAATAAATAAACGTATTTAAATTTTTTATGAAATTTCTCTGCGCGTCTTAGATCAGCATTTCTCATCAGCCTGGGGAAATTTATGTTCCCTTATTTGAAAAAGAAAGTTCGCTTTTTCTGTTACCAAAGTATTGTATGCCTCTTAGAAAATACGGAAAGCAGATGAAATTACAATAGAGGTGGAAACCCACGCCCCCCCAGCGTGTGCGATTGCTGCTGGTGTCTGGTGCGGGCTGTTTCTCTGCTGAGTTCTGATGGCTTGGGCCCGCTCCTGCCTTGTGCTTCTGCCGGTTTCCTGAGACGGAAATCTCAGACGTTCGAGGGGCCTCTTCTCCTAGCCCCATCTTATGGCAAATCTTGCAAATGTTTATCTAATCCTTGTGTCTTCTTCAGTAACGGGAAGGGGGAAAAGAAAAGTGCAGCCCTTCTGTTTCCCAGCCCAGGCTCAGACCAAGCTGTTGAAAAATCTGAACCTTCAAAGTGCTAGTAATTGTCAACAGCATGTTCTGAGGGCAGGAGCTCAGACGGAAGAGGACAGCAAGGGAATATCAAGACTGTCTACCCCAGAATGCGCTGCTTGGGAATTACATTTTGCCTGTATTCTGCCACCCTGAGACATTTGTGAATGGAGTGGGCAAGAGAAGACAAATACCATTTTTTGGTTTGACTCAATTATTAACATTCTGCTGCATCATTACAGAGTCTGTTAGGGGCTAAAGGAAACCAATTGGAGCTGAGAAAGGGCCCTTGGGCTCAGCCACCACCACCTCAAGAAGCACTTTTGGCTCATGTTTAACCAACAAAGCCAAAGGATCTTAAATAACAAAAGTTTCTTAGGAAGCTGTGCCCTCCATTTAGAATCTGGAAATGATCACGTTGAACCATGCCTCAGGACATTTGTTTGAAATCAGTATTTAACTCAACACTCGACTTCTTTCTTCTTATTCTTTTGTTATCTTCTGCCCTTTCGTGCATAGAGTTAATATTAGCTATACCCTTGTTCTTTCTCCTGGTTTTAGTTACTCCTGAGGCCTGGCGTGTGATGATGTCCCTTAAGTCAGGTCTTCTGGCTGAAAGTACTTGGGCTCTGGACACTATTAACATTCTCCTGTATGATGACAGCACTGTTGCTACCTTCAGTCTCTCCCAGGTAAGCCGGCACCCATCCAGCCAAGCGCCCAGGTCGCAGAAGGAAGCTCGGGAGTGCACAGCGCGCGAGCGCCAGGGGCGAGCGGCACCCCCACCGGATGTGGCTGCCCTTGTTGTCGTTACGGACGTAGCGCTGTCTGAGGATTTAGTCGGGAGTAATGACTCATTTCAGGCTCTAGTATAAATATACACGTACTTCTGTTTCTCACGAGAAAACCGTCCCCTGTGTGTGTGTGTGTGTGTGTGCGCGCGCGCGCGCGTGTGGACTGGATAGTAAAAGTAGGTTGTTGTTTAGAATGAATGTCAGCAGCCGGCGGGAGGTGACCGAAATGTCGCGTGAGGCTGGAACGGTAGTCAGTGTTGGGTATGCAGGAGCTTGCGATGGGACATACCCTACTTTCCAGGGAGACCGAACCTCTTTCTTTTAATTAGAAAGAAATGTTATGGAAAATGTACAGTAGAGAGAGTGGTAGAGAGAACAGTTTAATGAACCGCCGTATCCCCATCATTCGGCTGAGATCGTTGTGAACTCATGGCCAGACTTTTTCCTGGTCTGTTTCCTTCATTGCTGCCTCTCCCCACCTTATTTTGAGGCAGTCATTGAAAAGCCTGCTACTTTTAATAAGCTTAAAGCGCTCTGCTTTGTTCAGCAGTAGACTTAAAGTAGCTTCCAGCATAATTGCTAGAGGAGAGAAGGGGGGCAGAAGGCTAGGGAAAATGCCCAGGAGTCAACTGAGCTGCAGACTTTTACAGAAATAGTTAGAAACAAAAATGAGGAGAGGTAGTTCTCCCTACTGTGTATGAACAGTTCTCTGCTTTGGGTGAAAAAAGCCAAAACATCTAATTACCTTGCTTCTGTTGAAATCGGACCAGAATCTTCCACTTTGCCTTTCTTCTCACATTTAAGTCCTCATTATAGCCCTAAAAGGCAATTTTTCACTTGATAGGAAGTGTATTAATAAGGTTATAAACATCGCATGAAGCCCCTTGTAACAGAAAATACTAAAAAATGTGTCCTGGCTTTGCTAGAATAATCACCTTCCGTCCTTATGTGAGCAGAGTGAACAACTGTTGCTCACACATTTTCATAACCAGAATTGCTTTAGTAACTTGCCCCTTTCCCCTGCCCTGGGGAAAAAGTCAACTTTAAGTGGGGGAACAAACACCCAAATCTTCACATGAAAAAGTGTGCCTTCATCCCCTAAAAGGGAGTCCTTTGTGGTCAGTCCTTGAGTGGCCCCTTACTTCTTAGTAATTGTTCCAAACCCACTTTCAGGAAACTGATAGCAGGATACAAAAGTACGATTGATTTCCAAAACACCTGTCATTAAAGAATCCTTCTGTACTTCCTTATCCTTCTTCATTGTCCCTGCATGTTGGAGGTGTGGGCGTCGGGGGAGGGGCTCTGGGCAGTTGCTGATCATGGAGTATCTTGGCTTTCTCGATGCAAATGTTTGCTGAAAGGAAACGAGAAGTGGCTTTTGTCTTTCAGCTGGAGTTGTGATAGCTGAAATGTAAAAGTGCATTCTATACGGCATTCTAATTCATTTATCAGGGACTAAATTGATTTGTTTTTAATTTTCTGTGTTTATGAGCTACTCCATTGCTGAAATTATCTTTTCCCAAAGATATATGGGGAATGTAAATTAGGGTAACCTATGGCACCTGAGACAAAAATAACCATAAAATCCTAAGAATAATAACCGTAAAAATCCAGGCAAGCAAGTCTCAGATAAATAGTAGAAGGGAACAGACTCACTTTGGCTGAATGAGTCTATAAAATCCACGTTCCCGCTCTTCTCATATGGAGTGCATTGTACCTAAGTCAGAAGAAAAGGCAAAGAACTTGATAATATTCAAAAGAAAAAATGACAGGGAAGTTTTCATATTGATGGAGTAGGAAAGTCAGCAGCAAGTGGAAAACATGGTACATGTTGGTTTAGTTAATGTAAAATTCAGGAAGCCGGTTCTAATGGATATGTAGTTTCTCTCTCTGGGCTTAGCCAAAAGGGAATTAAAACCTGTGAAAATCCTCCTAAAACTGTATCGATAGCTGTCAGGATTGTTGCCCTTCTCCACCCTGTTTGAGGTTATGACATTGTACCCGTTCTTGTTCTTGTCTCCCTCTCTAGTTGTCTGGATTTCTCGAACTTTTAGTAGAGTACTTTAGAAAATGCCTAATTGACATTTTTGGGATTCTTATGGAATATGAGGTGGGAGACCCCAGCCAAAAAGCACTTGATCACAATGCAGTGAGGAGAGATGACAGCCAGTCGTTGGCTGACGACTCGGGGAAAGAGGAGGAAGATGCTGAGTGTATTGACGAGGAGGACGACGAGGAGGATGAGGACGAGGACGAGGACGATGGGAAGACGGAGATGGAGGAGAAGAGCAGCGCGGCTCTGGCCTCTCCCAACGCCACTGCAGATCCCAAGGAGAAGCCCAGGCAAGCGAGTAAGTTCGACAAGCTGCCAATAAAGATAGTCAAAAAGAACAACCTGTTCGTGGTCGACCGGTCTAACAGGCTGGGTCGTGTTCAAGAGTTCAACAGTGGACTTCTGCACTGGCAGCTTGGTGGGGGGGACACCACCGAGCACATCCAGACTCACTTCGAGAGCAAGATGGAGATCCCTCCTCGGAGGCGTCCACCTCCCCCTGTAAGCTCCACTGGTAGGAAGAAAGAGCAAGAAGGAAAAGGCGAGGCTGACGAGCAGCAAGAGAAAAGCATCATCGCGACCATTGACGACGTCCTGTCTGCGCGGCCAGGGGCGCTGCCGGAAGACGCAAACCCTGGTGCCCAAACCGAAAGCAGTAAGTTTCCCTTTGGGATCCATCAAGCCAAAAGTCACCGGAACATCAAGCTGCTGGAGGACGAGCCAAGGAGCCGAGACGAGACTCCTCTCTGCACCATTGCGCACTGGCAGGATTCTCTGGCTAAGCGCTGTATCTGTGTGTCCAACATTGTCCGAAGCTTGTCTTTTGTGCCTGGTAATGACGCTGAAATGTCCAAACATCCAGGCTTGGTGCTGATCCTGGGGAAGCTGATTCTGCTTCACCACGAGCATCCAGAGAGGAAACGAGCGCCGCAGACCTACGAGAAGGAGGAAGACGAGGACAAAGGGGTGGCCTGCAGCAAGGATGAGTGGTGGTGGGACTGCCTGGAGGTCTTAAGGGATAACACGTTGGTCACGTTGGCCAACATTTCTGGGCAGCTAGACTTGTCTGCTTACACAGAAAGCATCTGCTTGCCAATCTTGGATGGCTTGCTGCACTGGATGGTGTGCCCGTCTGCAGAGGCACAAGACCCCTTCCCCACTGTGGGACCCAACTCCGTCCTGTCGCCTCAGAGACTCGTGCTGGAGACCCTCTGCAAACTCAGCATCCAGGACAATAACGTGGACCTGATCTTGGCCACGCCTCCATTTAGCCGTCAGGAGAAATTCTATGCTACGTTAGTTAGGTACGTGGGGGATCGGAAAAACCCAGTCTGTCGAGAAATGTCCATGGCGCTCTTATCGAACCTTGCCCAAGGGGACGCACTGGCAGCGAGGGCCATAGCTGTGCAGAAAGGGAGCATTGGCAACTTGATAAGCTTCCTAGAGGACGGGGTCACCATGGCCCAGTATCAGCAGAGCCAGCATAACCTCCTGCACATGCAGCCCCCGCCTCTAGAACCCCCGAGCGTGGACATGATGTGCAGGGCGGCCAAGGCTCTGCTGGCCATGGCCAGGGTGGACGAGAACCGCTCGGAGTTCCTCCTGCACGAGGGCCGATTGCTGGATATCTCGATATCAGCCGTCCTGAACTCTCTGGTTGCGTCTGTCATCTGTGATGTACTGTTTCAGATCGGGCAGTTATGACATCCGAGAGAAGGCAGCATGTGTGAGTGAAGACTAGAGGCTCCCGTATCACTGGCTGTTTTCTGTTCTTGTTTATCCAGCGTAGAAAGAAGGAAAAGAAAATCTCTGCTCCTCTGCCCCATTCACTATTTACCAATTGGGAATTAAAGAAATAATTAATTTGAACAGTTATGAAATTAATATTTGCTGTCTGTGTGTATAAGTACATCCTTTTGGGGTTTTTTATTTTGTTTTCGTTTTTTTTAACCAAAGTTGCTGTCCTAGTGCATTCAAAGGTCACTTTTTGTTTCTCACAGATTTTCTTTTTAATGTTCTTTTCTATGTTGTATTGCTTTTTTTTTTTTTTTTTGGGGGGAAGCAAATTGACTTTAATAAAAAAAAATGTGGCAAAAGATGCTAAGATGGGAAAATTTCACCACACTGAGGCAAAAAGGTGAAAAATTATCAACTTCCTAGGCATGTTATTCTTCAGATAATGGAAAAAAAAAAAACTGTATCCCATCGCCCAAAGCTCTGTGCAATAGAAACTTCTAGAGATGTAGGAATAGGGGCTCAAGGAGGTGTGTCAGTCAGTAGTCAAACTATGAAATGATACTGGTTTCTCCACAGGAAAATGGTTACATTAGGCTAGGAGCAAAAACAATTTTTTTTTTTTTTTAAGTTAAGATTGAAAATACATACCTGACAACGATCAACGGAAACTGCTTTCTCACCACTACCGTCATGTCTGCTGTCTGTCGTCTGACCTTCCACGTGACAGTTCTTCACAATTCCTTTAATCATTTTTTAAATATTTTTTTTTTACTGCCCATGGGCTGTGATGTATATAGAAGTTGTACATGAAACATACCCTCATGCTTTCTTTTTCTTTTCTCTCTCTTTTTTTTTTTAGTACAAAGTTTTTAGTTTCTTTTTCATGATGTGGTAACTACGAAGTGATGGTAGATTTTGAGAAAAGGAGTAGGACTCGGGTTTTAAAGGAAGTGGATAAGCAAGAAGAGTTACCCAAAAAAAAAAAGAAAGAAAAAAGACAAAAAACAAAAACAAACAAAAAAAAAACACAAAAAAAAGAGGGTAATGTACAAGTTTCTGTATGTATAAAGTCATGCTCTATTTCGGGAGAGCGGCTGATCACAATTTGCTTCATGAATCAAGGTGTGGAAATGGTTGCATATGGATTGATTTAGACTATGGTTACCAGTACAGACAAAAAAGAAAAAAATACAACTAAAAGGAAGAAACACAACTTCAAAGATTTTTCAGTGACAAGAATCCACATTTGTATTTCAAGATAATGTAGTTTAAAAAAAAAAAAAAGAAAAAAACTTGATGTAAATTCCTCCTTTTCCTCTGGCTTAATGAATATCATTTATTCAGTATAAAATCTTTATATGTTCCACATGTTAAGAATAAATGTACATTAAATCTTGTTAAGCACTGTGATGGGTGTTCTTGAATACTGTCCTAGTTTCCTTACAGTGGTTTCATAGTAACCAAGTTCTTCCCAAGAAATAATAGGGGAAAACCCAGCCTTGTACTAACATAGTCCTCCTCACAAAGCCCTGAGGTCGGGAGGGGCCTTTAGGGATTACCTACCTTAGAGTGGGGAGCAACAGTTTGATTTTCTCAAATTATTTAGCTGATGAGCCTTTGTTTGATGAAGCAATCAACTCGAACGACACTGAGGTATGAGAATTTCCGGTGTATATGGGAGGTGGCTGCTTAGCCCCGGAGCTCACTGGCCTGGCGATGTAACGTTCTGCCTTTTACTAACCCCATCTTGATTTGAATCAGAGATCGATCTAATCCATGTCTCTTCTGTGTGCCTCAGAGGTATTTTGCATTTCGTTTACTCCACCGTGTATAATATTTATATTGTGCAATGTTAAAAAAATATGTTATATTGTATGTGGTGTACATAGTGCAAAGTGATTATTTCTATTTCAGGGCATATTAATATTCTCCTATTCCTTCCTACCTGGTGTGCAGTAGCTTTTTAATACTAGTCACTTCTAATTTAAACTTCTTCTTCCTGGGTCCTTGACTGTTATTGTGTAACACTCAGTTTCTTTGAAACTGCTGCAGAATTAAGCTGTTAGCGGACTCCCTTCTGACGCTACCTCTCCATTACCCTACCAGTCCCAGCACACGCAAACACCCCAAGTCCTCGCGCCAGACCTGTGGCCCCAGGGGTCGCACCCGGAGGAGTTAGACGAGAGCACGCAGCTGCGACCAGCGTGTGAAACGTAACTCGAGGGTCATGAGAAACAGATTTTTCTGCGAGCAGTATCCTCCTCTGTCAACCCCCCACATTACTTAGTCACACAGTCTTCGTACTTAACAATGCAGCCAAATATTTGTTGAATTAAAACCCCACTTAAAAGTCTACTTTAAATACATCTGCTTGCTAAGAACAGATTTTAGTGCTCTGAGCTTCAAATGCGAAGATTTGTACGAGGGAACTCGAGAGGAGTCTAACCGCTCTCTTAGCAGAGCATGAATAAAACGTACACAGACTCTGATACCCCAAATCTTTTGTCATTCGAAAAAGTAAAATCATTACAAAAGACTGCTGTTTTCATGGTTTGAGTTGTAATCAATACCTAGAGTCTAACCATTGAGCAACAAGTTTTTACGTGCTAATATGCAGTGTAACCTCTAGAATAATCCAGGAAGACTTTAGCGTCCTTTCTACAGTCACCCCAGAACCAAGACTGCAGAAGCCCACGAAGAACTTACAGCCTGCCTGAGATCATCCCGCCTACAAACTGAGTTATTGCTTTGTCCTAAAAATTAGTTGTTTTTTCTTTTTTTCCCTATGAGGCTTTTCGGAAATTTACAGGATGCCCGTACTTTAAATGTGTACAAAAAAAAAAAAAAAAAAAAGATAAAAATAAAGGTGCAAAGAAAGTTTAGTATTTTGGAATGGTGCTATAAAGTTGAATCTGTTGGTATTTGAGTGCATTTTTTTAATGTCACATAAGAGATATCGGGTGGCATGTGCTCAGAAATAACTATTCAAATGTTTTGTTTGAGGTTGAGAATGATAGAAAATCCGTTTTCATTGGCGAATGTGGCCTATTCAGAAACTAGTTACGCTGTTTTTGAAAAGTTATAATAGAGAATGGTTTTTTAAGGGGTGGATGAGCGGCTGGATGATACAGTGTAAGCTATTAACTACCTCTTTTACGGAAAGAATCTGGCCTTTGCCCTGAAATCCATCCATTTAAAAACTGTTGGAAATCTTTCATTTCCTGTCAAACCCATGGACCAATTCCCATTATCTGTTCACCTGCAAGGAAGCAGAGAAGGTATTATAAATGAGCCAAAAATGACAATCCAAACAACCTACCTTCTTCTTGCTGAGTTGTGTTTCACTTCTTTATCGGAGAGCTGGGAGCCCAGCCGCCTGACGGTTCCTGCCCTCCGTCCTCCACCCTCACCCCCGTCAGCACCACAGAGAACTTCCCAGTCAGGCGAGCTTTCAACACTGCCGAGACCTATTTTTGGTAATAGTATATAACCTGCTAAGATGTCTCCTTCTTCGTTAACTCAGCAGAGAGGTGTCGAGCACACACTGCATGCCCAGCCCTGTTCTAGGCTCCCAGGAGTCACTCATGAGCAAAGACCCTGTTTACAATCACATGATAGGCTTTGGGGTCAGATGGTGACAGACACGGTTTCCAAATGTGGTGCTTATGTGTTGAGCACACGTAGTGCATTTTTGTTGACTGAAATCTAAGGCTCTAGCCTCTATCTGTAGCTCCTTAGAATGCGGTGGGAACCGCTGTGGACTGAATATCAAGGAGACTGAGTCAAGGTTCAGCGCCAGGCTGACCTGTAAGTACTAGGAAAAACGGTCTCCGAGGCCCCCTCCTGGCCCCTAAAATGGGAGTCTGCGGCCTCTGGCTCCTTTCCTGCTCGTGCTCATGTCAGGGTGCGTGTGTGTTCTGGAGTGGAGGGGACAAAGCCTATCATGGGACCCAGTGATGCCAGGCCGCTGGGTAAGCCCTTGGAAATGCAGGAATCGACCGAAACTCTACGAGAAGACCTTATCAAGGCCTTTTTTGTCCTTAGGTCCCACAGACCCTGCCGTGTGCCCATGCCCATCTAGCTCCCCGTCGCCACACTCCCTGCTTCTGTCCCCTGGTTCCCCAGTCCTGCTTTTGTTTGATGATGCTCCAACTCCTCCAAAACGCCACAGTCCAATTACCAAGTTAATTCACTTTGGGTTGTAAACATAAGAAACCCTGAGGGGAAATTGGGGCAAGACCATCAACTGTGTTCTTCCTGAGTCTCATTTCAGGGACTTGAAGTTTTACCCCAGCTTTTTCAAAGCATATTCTAAGAAACGGAAGAGCGATCTCAAAAAACAAAAACCACCAAAAACTCTACATATTCTCCCCTTGGCCATCTGTAATCCATATTATTATAGTAAAGACTGAGAAGTCGTACAGAAAAGAAGCGTGTTTATCCCAAACATTTCCTGACTTGATTAACCTTGGAACCCTTTTTTTTCCTCCTGTGAACTCGCTGCAGAGCTTTGGTAGATTACCCGCATTAGTCGAAGAGCCTGCCTCACTTCCTAACCGCCTTATTGCTCGCTCACCCAGAGTGCGTTATACCTTAAACTGAAATGGCGATGAAATCTTCTCTTGCTGTCCCTGTGACCTTGAGCAAGGTACTTAAATTCTTTGAGCCTCAGTTTCCTGACCCATAATATGGGGTAATGCTGACCTCAGGATTGGTGAGGATTAAAGGAGATGATTTTTTTTTTTTTAAGATTTTATTTATTTATTTGACAGAGACACAGTGAGAGAGGGAACACAAGCAGGGGGAGAGGGAGAGGGAGAAGCAGGCTTCC